ATGACATGGAAGTATCTCCTGTCTTCCCCCGTGCCGTGCCCTTTCTCCTCCCTGAATGCTCCTCTTGGAGTGGCCCTTTCTGTCACTTGCAGAGCATCCTTTCTCTCTCACCCACATATCTCCCCTGCCTTCTTCCTCCACACCACACTCGTCGGCCTGCCACCCTTCTACCCCTGGAATGTGTTCTCAGCACCCCCATCTCACCCCTTTATCCCATGAGTCTTTTGCAGAACTGTTCTTGAGGCACTATAGGCTGAAGGAGATCTTAAGCTCTTTCAGTTTCCCGAGTGCTTCTGGGTCATGACCACGTCCATCTCTCAGGAGGAGTGGGCATCAGGGTCCTAGCAAGAGGACCCTTCTCAGGGACACAGTGCAGGACATTAATGGGAATGTGTTCTCAGTGGTAAGGACTCCCTTTCATGGATAAGGCTGCACCATTTCTGACTCGGATCCTGTCCCTTACACACCTCCCTGACATAAGCTCTGAGTTTTGCCTTGAAGCCCCCATAGGGAGCATCCCTTGATCTCAAGTCCCCTGGACTAGGATTGGTTAGCTATCTGACACGTGGCACAGTAGCCTCTGGATTCAAGCCCAGCAACTACAGTTTAAGGAAGGGATGCTGAACCAAAGAAGAGTACATGGAATCTAGTAGACACCCACATCCTCATATTCACGCATTCACAGAGTCCCAAGAGACTGTGCCTGCTCTACATTTTTTGATTCCCTGCAATGTCAAGATACTTATCCTTCCGAATTCACTTATACTTTCTATTCTCTTTTAGACCTTTCTCCAAAGAGGAAAATCCAGGGGTACTGACATCAACATTCCACTTACCAGCTGTCACAGGTCAGGAAGGAGGGAGTATGTGCTCAGAAATTGTCATTAAGCACTGTTACTTATAATTTTGGGAATTTGGAATTAAAGAATATATTCCAAATGAAGGAATTATACAAATAAATCAAGATGTATTGATTTGATGAACTATTACATAGAGATTAAAAATGGTGCCCCTGAAGTATGATCAAAAGGCAATCATTGGGTATACAGGTGTTTATTGTCCAATTTTCCCAGCTTTTCTATATGTAGGACAATTCTCATGAAGAAAGGTGGGGAAAAGTCTTAGAATACAGTATAAAATAAGGCCTGTGCAGGATATGATTATTATATTGAAACACACACGGGAAGAATGACAGACGCTTCATTTTGTTTTTATGTATTGAGTTCACGAAGGGAATCACAACTATTAAAACATTTACACAAAGTCTGAATGTGTCTCCTTTCATTGGGACCATCTCCACATTTTTCATATGATGACTTAACTTCTGTGGTGCCCAAGGTTGAGCACAGCTCTTTTAGGGAGTGCTAAATATGGTGAGCAGTTCAGAAGTTGGGCAAGATGATGATGGAACTGGTCAGAGTGTGAGAGTCTCTGTACAGGAAGGTCTGCTATTCTCAGGGCATCTTTCAGGAAAAGAGAGCAGAGATCAGGCACTTGGCACCTGACTCGCACCAAGCAGAAGAAAGAATCTCAGAGCTTGAAGACCAAAATATGGAACTAATGCAATCTGTTAAAAAACATAGAAAGGAAGCTTCAAAAGATGGAACAAAGCCTTCAAGAGATGTGTGATTACATTAAGAGACAAAACGTATGCTTGATTGGCATTTCTGAGCCAGAAAGGGAGACAGAGACCACCCTGGAAAAAACATTCCATGAAATTATATAAGAAAAGTTACCACATCACATCAGCGACACAAGCATCCAAATGCAAGCGATTCAGAGAACCCTTGCAAGGCACCAAATGAGAAGACCATCTCCTAGACACATAGGAATTCACTTACATAAAGTAGGTATGAAAGAATAATACTAAAGACAGCGAGATAGAAAGGGCAGACTACCTACCGGGAAAGACCAACCAGAATAGCAGCAGACTACAGAAACACTACTGGCTAGAAGAGACTGGAATCCAATCTTCAAGGTTCTCAAAGATAGAAAATTCCAGCCAAGAATTTTCTACTCAAGCTAAGCAAGCTGAGCTTCTTCAGTGATGCAGAATTAAAATCCTTCCCAGACATGCAATCCATGAGTTTATACTGCCTCCAGACCAGCTCTACAAGAGACGCTTAAAAAGGTATTAAGCAAAGAAGTAATAAAAAAGAATGACCAGGCTCTTCCCAAGAATGCAGAAAAACAGAATCAACACAGCATGCATCATGATTGCAAAACTGAAAACACACACACACGTACCAACACAAAAATCAAAAGAAAACCCAAAAGAAATAACCTCTCACATCTCAATAATCAGCCTGATCATAAATGGATTAAATGCACCACTGAAAAGTCATAGAATGGCAAACTGGATTAAAAAAAAATCATGAACCTACAATATACTGCCTCCAGGACACACATCTCCCTACAAATGACACTCAAATTTAGAGGGTGGAAAACAAATTTTCAGGTGACTGGAACACAAAAGACGACCGGTGTCATGATTTTAATATCAGCTAACACAACCTTTAAGCTATCAAACATTTAAAAAGATACAAAGGATGCTACATAATGACAGAAGGTTTAATCCATCAACAAGAAATATCCATTCTAAACATATTGCACCCAACACAGGAGCATCAGCTTTTCTACAGCAGCTACTAAGAAAACTAAAAAAAGATATTGACTCTAACACTATCATAGCTGCGGGCCAAAATGCCCCACTAACAACCCTAGATAGATCATCGAGACAAAAAATCAACAAGGAGATCTGGAACCTCAAACTGATTCTTGACCAAATGGACTAAATAGATACCTACAGAACACTCCACCCAACAACCACGGAATATATATTCTACTCATCACCACATGGGACATACTCCAAGATCGACTACATCCTTGGCCACAAATCAAACATAAACAAATTTTATAAGATTGAAATATGTCAATGCACCTTCTCAGGTTACAGTGGAATAAAAATAAATATCAACAGCCACATAAAAATTCCTCCAAAACCCACAAAGACATGGACAATAAACAGCATGATGCCGATCAACTCCTGGGTCGACACAGTAATCAAAACAGAAATTAAAGGATTCCTGGAAACATTTGAAAATAAAGACACATCTTACCAAAACCTCTGGGATGCCATGAAATCAGTAGTTAGAGTGGAATTTATATTACTATGAACACACATCAAGAAAACAGAAGGATCACAAGGTAATAGCCTAACAAATCACCTAAGGGAGTTGGAAAGTCAAGACCACTGAAACCCTAACTTCAGCAGGAAAATCCAGATCATCAAAGTAAAAGCCCAAATATGGGATATAGAAGACAAAAATATCATAGAAAAAAAATCAATGAAGCAGAAAGCTGGTTCTTTGAAAGGATAAACAAGATTGATGGACCTCTGCCAAAATGACCAACAAAAAGAAAGAAAAAGTCCAAATAAACGCAATCAGAAATGAAATAGATCAGGTTACAACTGACCCCAGAGAAATAAAAAAGATTATCAGAGACTACTATGTATACCTGTATGGAAACAAACTTGAAAACCTAAATGAAATGGAGGACTTTCTAAACATCATGCAGCCTTCCAAGGTTGAAACAAGAAGAAATTGAGCCCCTAAATAGACAAATAACAACCCAGGAAACTGACTCCATCATAAGAAAACTACCTACAAAAAACAAAACAAAACAAAACAAAAAAACCCCTGGATCAGGTGACTTTCCAGCAGAATTCTGCAAAACATACAAGGTGGATCTGACACCAATTTTATTGAAATTATTCCAGGTGATTGAGAAAGATGGAACTCTTGGCAAATCATTTTAACAAGCTAACATCACATTTATGATACCCAAACTGGGTAATGATCCAACAAAGAAAGAACTACAGGCCATTTCCCTGGCAAACATGGATGCAAAATTCTCAACAAGATTCTAGCAAATCAAATCCAGCAACACACACCAAAATTCATCCAGCATGGTCACATAGGCTTCATCCCAGCGACGCAGGGTTCATTCAACATCTGCAAGACCAGAAACATAATTAAATAGATCAACAGATGTAAAAACAAGAACCACATGATTAAATCATTAGGCACAGAGAAAGCTTTCAATAAAACCCAACATCCCTTTTTGATAAAAACCCTTGAATGCCTGAAAGTAGAGGGAACATACCTCAAAATAGTAATAGCCACCTATGAAAAACACAGCCAACATATTTCTAAATGAACAGAAATTGGAAGCATTTCCCCTGAAAACTGGAACAAGACAAAGCTTCCCACTTTCACCCCTCCTTTTCAACATAGTGTTGGAAGTCTTACCTAGAGCCATCAGACAAGAGAAGGAAGTCAGAGTTATCCAAACAGGAGAAGAAGAAGTCAAGTTACCCCTCTTTGCTGATGATATGAATTTATAGTTTGGAAGCACAAGAAAATCTGTCAAAAACCTCCTTGCACTGATAAAGAATTTTGGCAAAATCTCAGGGTACAAAATCAACGTGCAAAAGACATTTCATTCCTGTACACCACCAACAGACAAAGAACCAAATAAAAAGCAAAATCCCATTCACAGTACTCTCTCTCTCTCTCTCTCTCTCTCTCTCTCTCTCTCTCTCTCTCTCACACACACACACACACACACACACACACACACACGGAAATCCCTCGACATCTTCCTAACCAGAGAAGTGAAGGACCTTTACAATGAAAGCTACAAAACAGTGTTCAAAGAAATCAAAGAAGACACAAATGGAAAAGTATTCCATGCTCATGGATTGTTAAGATGTCCCTTCCACCAAAGGCAATCTACAGATTCAATGCACTACCCATTAAATTATCAACATCATTCTTCTCAGACCTGGTAACAACAATACAGAAATTCATAGGGAAATATGAAAAAACCATGAATAACCAAAACACTCTTTGGCAAAAAAAAGAAAAAGAAAAGAAAAAGAAAAACACACAGTGGAAGGTCTCACATTTCCAGACTTTAAACTTTATCAAGCCCCCTCCCTGCCTTTTCCGCCCTCCCATCCCCCTCCCTCAGCCCGCTGCCGCTGCTCCAGATAAGGTGATGGCAACGGCTAACTTCGGCAAGATCCAGATCGGGATTTACGTGGAGATCAAGCGGAGTGATGGCCGAATACACCAAGCAATGGTAACATCTTTAAACGAAGCTAATGAAAGTGTAACTGTTGAATGGATAGAAAATGGAGATACAAAGGGCAAAGAGATTGACCTGGAGAGCATCTTTTCACTTAACCCTGACCTTGTCCCTGATGAAGAACTTGAACCCAGTCCAGAAACACCTCCACCTCCCACGTCCTCAAAGTAAACAAAATTGTAAAGAATGGACGGACTGTGGCTTCTGTTAAGAATGACCCTCCACCAAGAGATAATAGAGTGGTTGGTTCTGCCTGTGCGCAGCCTAGTCAGCTTCCTGAACAGTCTTCCTCTGCACAACAGAATGCACGTAGAAGATCTAATTGTGTGAAAGAAGCAGAAAAATTGCAAGAAAAACGAGAAAAAAGGAGACCGCAACATCAAGAACTTAGAGAAAAAAGAGCCCAGGATGTTGATGCTACAAATCCAAATTATGAAATTATGTGCATGATCAGAGACTTTAGAGGAAGTTTGAACTATAGATCATTAACAACAGCAGATCCTATTGATGAACATAGGACATGTGTTTATGTAAGAAAACGACCACTCAATAAAAAAGAAACTCGAATGAAAGATCTTGATGTAATCACAATTCCTAGTAAAGATGTTGTGATGGTACATGAACCCAAACAAAAAGTAGATTTAACAAGGTACCTAGAAAACCAAACATTTCATTTTGATTATGCCTTTGATGACTCAGCTCCTAATGAAATGGTTTACAGGTTTACTGCTAGACCACTAGTGGAAACTATATTTGAAAGGGGAATGGCTACATGCTTTGCTTATGGGCAGACTGGAAGTGGAAAAACTCATACTACGGGTGATGACTTTTCAGGAAAGAACCAAGATTGCTCTAAAGGGATTTATGCATTAGCAGCTCGAGATGTCTTTTTACTGCTAAAGAAGCCAAACTATAAGAAACTAGAACTTCAAGTATATGCAACCTTTTTTGAAATTTATAGTGGAAAGGTGTTTGACTTGCTAAATAGGAAAACAAAATTAAGAGTTCTAGAAGATGGAAAACAGCAGGTTCAAGTGGTGGGATTACAGGAACGGGAGGTCAAATGTGTTGAGGATGTCCTGAAACTCAATGACCTAGGCAACAGTTGCAGAACATCCGGTCAAACATCAGCAAATGCACTTTCATCTCGGAGCCATGCAGTGTTTCAGATTATTCTTAGAAGGAAAGGAGAACTATATGGCAAATTTTCTCTCATCGATTTGGCTGGAAATGAAAGAGAAGCTGATACTTCTAGTACAGACAGGCAAACTAGGCTTGAAGGTACTGAAATTAATAAAAGCCTTTTAGCACTCAAGGAGTGCATCAGAGCCTTAGGTAGAAATAAACCTCATACTCCTTTCCGAGCAAGTAAACTCACTCAGGTGTTAAGAGATTCATTCATAGGTGAAAACTCTCGTACCTGCATGATTGCCACAATCTCTCCAGGAATGGCATCCTGTGAAAATACGCTTAATACATTAAGATATGCAAATAGGGTCAACGAATTGACTGTAGATCCAACTGCTGCTGGTGATGTTTGTCCAATAATGCACCAGCCCCCAAACCAGATTGAGACACAGTGGGGTGTGGGGAGTTCCCCTCAAAGAGATGATCTAAAACTTCTTTGTGAACAAAATGAAGAAGTTCCTTCACAATTGTTTACTTTCCATGAAGCTGTCTCACAAATGGTAGAAATGGAAGAACAAGTTGTAGAAGATCACAGGGCAGTGTTCCAGGAATCTATTCGATGGTTAGAAGATGAAAAGCCTCTCCTAGAGATGACTGAAGAAGTAGACTATGATGTAGATTCATATGCCACACAACTTGAAGCTATTCTTGAGCAAAAAATAGACATTTTAACTGAACTGCGGAATAAAGTGAAATCTTTTCGTGCAGCTCTACAAGAAGAGGAACAAGCCAGCAAGCAGATCAACCCGAAGAGACCCCGTGCCCTTTAAATCGGCCTTAGCTGCTAAAGGATCCCCAGGACCCTCGCTACTGTAACATAATGATGGTTCAGCTGTAAGGGCCGTTTGAAAGTTTGAAATTTTAAGTGTTTGTGGAAAATGTTTTGTCCTTTGCCTGAATGACATTTCAATTTTGTGAAACACTCCTTTGTCTCCAAAATGCTTCTAGTCCAGGAGGCACAACCAATAATTGGGATTAGTGAAGCATTTTGTTTCATTTGCCCAAATAGTGATTTACTTTTGGAGATCCTTGTCAGTTTCATTTTCTATATGATGAAGTAAGATTGTGGACTGGATCCAGAGGTGGATAGTAGGGGGAAGCCACAGCTTTTCCTTTTAACTCAGTTCCATTTTCGTAGCAAGACTGAGAAGTTTAAATCCTTTGTGAGCATGCATACCTCATCCGTGATTGTACATACCTTGCCCACTCCTAGAGACAGCTGTGCTCACCTCTTCCTGCTTTGTGCCTTGACTAAGGCTATTGACCCTGAATTTCTGAAGCACAGCCAAGATAAATTACATTCCTTATTTGTCATTGTAAATTACCTTTGTGTGTACATTTTTACCGTATTTGAGACATTTTTTTGTGTGTGATTAGTTAATTTTGCAGGATGTGCCATA